CGTCGTTTTGGGGGCAAAAGTTGTTGGGCTGGCGGCGAACAGCACGCGACAAAGCAAAGGCGGCGCTGCGGTTCGGAAGCCTTCCACCCGCATCTTCGTCGTCTTTCGCTGTGTCTCTCGCTCTGTCACTTCTGCCGCCTTGGCTTCCTTTCCTCTTCTCTCTCTCTCTCTTCTCTCTTCCTACTCTTCTCCAGTTACTTTCCCTCAACTTGCGCAAATACCCTTCTCCCTTTCCTCCTTTCCTCTTTATTTCTACATTACCTTTTTTTCTTTGTCCTACTACCCCTCTTCTCTACCAAACAACTAGATTCCCTCCCAGCGTCTAGCATCTCACAACTCAGCTACAATGGCCGCCGCAGCTGTCAACACCAACCCTCCTCCACAGTCCGAGACCTCAGAGAAGCACAAGCCGAACCATGCTTCTAGCCCTTCGATCGCTTCCAAAGCAGAGGTCAACGGTTCCGATAACCATGAGCATCAACACTTCAAAGAACTTCAAAAGTGAGTCATCCGAGAAATCAGCCTCGGCGCTTCCCACCATTTGACCGGGGAAAAGAGAACAAGTTAGATAGGATACTAATTACAGTGCTATAGGAGCCTGCGCAATGCTATGAAGAAGCTGGTTCGTTCACCCGACTCAAATTTAGGTCCCTGTACACCGCTCACATTTGCCCCATCCAGAATGCGACCGCTAAGGTTGACGCCATCATCGCCGAAAACCCTGGGAAGTCATTGGACGAGCTCGTCGCGGAGAAGAAGATCAACGTCGATCAGAAGGCTCAGGCCCTGAAGAAGCCTTCCCTCCAGGCCGCTGTTGCTCAGATCGAGGAACAGATTGCCCAGTTCAAGAGCTTCGCTGCCTATTACGAGGAACGCTTGGTCAGCCAGAAGGCTGAGCTGGAGCAGGCCCACAAGGAGCAGCTTGAAGCTGTTCAGAAGCAGGCCACCGAAGCTGCTAGCGGTGTTAGAGAGACGGAGCTCAGACAGAAGCTGCTTAACTTGAGCAAGTTCCTCTGTGCGGCTGCGCGGGTTAGAAACTCTGGAGACGAGACCTCGAATGAGAGCCGTGCCTTTGAGGGTGTCCTTTACCAGATCTACGGCGGTACTCAGGATGCTGTCTCTTCCATGCTTAAAATCATCGATGGCGTGGACGAGAAGGTGGTTGGCGTTGACAGCACTCTCCTCGATGTCACCTGTGAGCACTGCCGTCATCCCATGTATGTTGTTTTGCCTGTTGCTAACGATAATCTGTTGATCAGACGGAAGAGTAAAGCAGGCCGCTGCTGAGCTTGCTGGACCAACTGACGAGACCACCACCGCCACCACCGAGGCCGCTCCTCAGTCGGACCCTACTATTGCCAACGCCAGTTACACCGAGCTCCAGGATTCTTCTTACAACACCGACGCTGCTGCTACCGTTGCTAACGAGTCCGCTACTGCCGCTGAGCCTGAGGCGGAACAGGTCCAGCCGCCTGCTCAGACTCTCGTTGGCGAGGGTGGTAACGCAGTCGCGGAGGCCAACTGGGATGCCAATGCTTCTGGTGTCTCCTCGGCCAACACCGAAGGCTGGGTTGAAGTCCCTCGGGACCCCGCCGAGACCGATACTGGCCTGGAGGCCACACCTGCAGCGGCGCAAGCTGAGGTAAAGACCAGCCCGGCTGCCGAGCAGGGCACCGAGAATGTTACTGTGCCGAAGGACGGCTTCGAGCAGGTACACCACCACCAGAGACAGCCTAGTGTTCGCGGACGTGGTCGTGGCGGACATGGCCGTGGACGTGGTGATGGTTTCCGGGGACGCGGACGCGGCGAGTTCCGTGGCCACGGTCGTGGTCGCGGCCGTGGTGGTCGGGGCCGTGGCGGAGCCAACGCCAATGGCAATGGCGCTCCCAGTGCCGCTCCTGCTGGAAACCAGTAAGCCAGTGCAGCTGGGAACGGGATCGATCCGTCGCCTGGCTTGGGGGTTGTGCTCCTCTGTGAGAAGTACATCTCAAGGCCGACACGGTCCTGATGCTGGCTCCTTGCCTTCTGAATGGCACTGGGCCTTGTCCATGCTACATCTTTACATCTTCCCCGCTTTTATTATTGCAGCCGTCGGGGCGTTGTGCTTTCCTTTGTCTATCCTCTCTCATACTAATAAACTCATGGGTAATGGCGGTGTCATGGTTGACGAAAGCAATGACTCTTGAAATGATTACAACACGGAGCTATGAGGGCGACACGCTGCCGATGAACCAGTCATCCGGTAGCATTGCTCGACGTTTCTTTTGGATTCTCTTCCCTAAGGTTCCGGTTGTATATGTTTGCAGTTATTGAGCGTGCATAATGTTGCTCTTTCATATCTTTTCTTTTACCTTGTCTTTCGAGCTGTGATGACCGCTTCCACGGGGCCATTGCATTCGGATGGTGGCGGCAAAGCTCGTCATATTGGCCATCTACTATTCTTTTCCTGTATTTTATTCATTTGCATCTTATGTTGACATGGAGGGTTGCAGGCCAGGGCGGTTCGCAGCGACAGGAGCAGGGGAGAATGTCTGGCCGTTGACGGCCGGGACGAAGTTGCTAGGAATATAAGGTCAAAGTGCAGCTCGGCGGCAATGGAAGCCAGCGGCACACTTACTTTTCCTCGCCAGATTGGACGAACCAGTATAAGACCATTGTAGATGCAAGTATGAATGTAAGCGAAATGAATAGATCAACTAGAATTGACCCGAAAAGGCAGCCAAGGCCGAGTCCCGCATCTGATAGGGCTCAGGGCTATGACATAATTGGCAGGTGCCTCGGAGGAGAAGATGCCATCGTGTTGTTGTTCTTCTTCGACCTGCCTTTCTTATGCTGCTGAACGCTGCTATCCTTCGTTCCATTTCTGTTCCTCATGTTTAATTAAACCCCTTTTATTCGCTCTCTTCTTCCGCTCTTCTTTTCTCTCTCTTTCGTCTTGACCTTCTAGTGTTTCCCGCACCTCGCCGTCTCACCACTATGGCGGTCGCCGCAGACCAGCGGAAGAAGATCCTCAAGGTCTTGATGACCTCGTTGCTCTTGGATTTGGTATGTTTTGCTGCTGTTACTCTCGTTCTCATGATTTTCTTTCTCTAACCGTTGATCTAGATATCCTTTACGTTCATTCTACCTCTCTTCCCATCTCTCCTCTCCTTCTACCGCAACCAAGACCCCTCCCCAAACTCGCTGCTGAACCGCGTCTTCCACTATCTCAATGCCTACAAGAACTCCTTCGCAAAGCCCATCGACTCGCGCTATGATATTGTTCTCCTCGGTGGTGCTCTCGGATCTCTCTTCTCCTTTCTCCAGGCCCTAGCCGCCCCCTTTATCGGCCGTCTCTCCGACCAGCGCGGCCGCAAGACTGCCCTCCTCTACTCCATGGTTGGCAACACTCTCAGCGTCGCTCTCTGGGTCGCTGCTACCGATTTTCGCACCTTCCTGGCCAGTCGCATCGTCGGTGGTCTTAGTGAAGGGAATGTGCAGCTGGCCAACGCCATTGCAACCGACATCAGCGACCCCAGCCAGCGCGGCTCGACCATGGCCCTGGTGGGCGCCTGCTTCAGCATCGCCTTCACCTGCGGACCCGCCCTAGGAGCGTTTCTCTCGAACATCACCACTGTGGCAGCAAATCCCTTCGCGACCGCAGCCGGCGTCTCCCTTCTGCTCATTGTCGTCGAAACCGCATACATCTACTTCTGTCTGCCGGAAACCCACCCTCGTTTCACCAAGCTCACTCATACCTCTTCAACCACCACGTCTGCCTCGAAGGCCCCCACGTCCACATCCACCCCCACTCCCAAACGCAAACAACACACCAACAACCCCGCCATCCTCAACGCAATCCACTTCCTCTTCCTCCTCCCCTTCTCCGGCCTTGAGTTCTCCCTCCCCTTCCTAACCGCCACCTTCTACGCCGGCAGCCAAGCCAGCCCCTCCGCTCTAAATGGCCGCCTCCTCTCCATGATGGGTCTAATCGCCTCGCTTCTCCAAGGCACTGTCGTGCGCCGTCTGCCCCCACTCGTGACAGTCCGCGCCGGCGTCCTTGCCTGCACCGTATCCTTCTTTATGCTCGCGCGCGTTTCCTCCCTCTCCGGCCTTTACGCCGCCGGCAGCCTCCTCGCTATCACCAGCGCCACGGTCGTCACGGGCCTCAACAGCCTGGGTAGCTTCGAGGCACAGGAGTCAGACCGCGGTGCGGTCTTGGGTAGACTCCGTAGCTGGGGCCAGGTCGGGCGCGCGGCGGGACCGTTGCTCTTCTGTTCGTTGTTCTGGTGGGTTGGGCGCGAAATCGCCTACACCACGGGTGGAATCGCGATGGTCACCGTTTGCGTGGCTGTGTTCACGTGCTTGAAGTCGCCGAACATTCCTGCCAAGGCGTAGTTGTCAGTCGATTTTTGTTGGATTGTTCGAAAATTCTGTGACGATAAAGATAGATTTATAGATTGATGTCTTCTGTTGAGTGTACGTTATGCATCTTTGCGGTCTCATCAACATGATGTGCAATAGATCAGATAAGATTTACTATCTACTGGCTGACTGGCTGTATCAGTGAGTAGTACTAGCAAAATATATATCCACGATACATTACAGAATACAAAACATCTTCAATAGTAGTATAGTACTGGGTATAATACACATTGGAGAGGGGGTGGTAAGCGAAAGGATACATATAATTAACAAGACAAGGAGTGGAGAAGAGAGGAGAATAAATATGAACATCTAAAACACCGAAAAATCGCCACGAACTGATGAAACGAGCAAATCAGATAGCCAGCCACCGTGAACAAACAGAATCAGATTAATTGAATACAATTTCGAAATCGTGCAATTCCCTTTCTCTTCGCACCGCCTCGCAACTGCCTCTACAGTTTGTTCCCCTCGGTAATGGGAGTAGAAGAGATTCTCAAAGAGTGGAGTATTGAATAAGCAAATGGAAACCAATATGGCCATATACCCATATCAGTAATATCGGAAGGGTAAAAACGAGGCCTGAGGGCCTACGATCACCGACCATGAGGATAATAATGTTGTTCATGATGGTACCGATCCCTATCGAGGTACTCCTGCGCATCCTGCCAATGACAGCCCTGCATAGCTAGCCCCGGCTCTGCAGCAGGGTCGAGCGATCCTCTCGCCTTACCGATCAACCAATCAGTCAGAGTCACGAACTTGGGCGTGCGATTCCATCCGCGCGCATCATCCGCGTGCTCGATCGTATGCGACGCAATGCGACCTTCCTCGTCGAAGGAGAAGATAAACAGGCCCGTGAACTGCTCTTCCTTCTTTAACTTGAAGATTGGGGCATCCCCGCCCAGCAGGACGCTAAGGCCTTTGTTGATCCCGGCTTTTGAAGATGAGAGGTGACTGCCATTACTCTTGTTGGTGCCTTGGGTATCGCTTGGTAGCGTGGGAGATGCGGCGGTGAACGATGTGCTGGAATGTTCCGAGTTGGAGGAAGTGGATTCGCTCCGCGGCTCGGTTCGCCAACGCACGACGAGACGCTCGTCGCTGGTATCGTGGTCGTTATCCGGTCGTTCAGGTTCGAGGACCGTTCCTGCGCGGACAATGCGCTCACTGAGGATTTGGAGCTTCACATTTCCCAGTAGGGGGAAGCTGCTCCATGCTACTGGGACGGTCCAGAGCGCGGCGCGGTAGAGTGTTCGGCCCTTGACGGTGGGGAGATGTGGGTGCGTGGAGGGGAAGAGGTGCAGGGCTATGCTTGGGGAGAGGATGTTCGGGGGTAGCGGGTTGATGAGAAGGGTGGGGAGGAGAGGCGAGAGGATGCGGAGAGCTGTGGGAGGTTGGCTCGGTCAGCACCGGGTCCATTCTGTAGGATGTCCTGTTGCGAGGCACTCACTCTTTCCAAGCTTCAGGATGCGCTCGTCGGGAGGTTCATGATCTCGTTTCGAGCCCCCGTCAAGAGGATCCAATACAGATGGCCGGAAACCAGTTTGCGAGAAAAGTGTCGGGGACTCGCGGGTCAACTGCGGGCCATGTAGGATATCGGGTCGTGGCTGGGCCAGAGTTCGCGGGGAAGGAGAGACGAAGTATTGTTCTCGGGAGACAGGTGGTTTTATCGGAGAGGGCGTTGTAGGAGGTAGTAGACGACGTCGGAGAGCGCGTGGCGCAGGGCCAGAGACCAGCTTCGGCGGCATTCCCGGAGGTTCACCCAGGGAGTTTGTGTTGGGAACAGATCAATGCATGCCTTGCGGGATGGCAGCGGAGGGGTTGAGTCAAGTCATAAGCTGACAGATGCATGAGACAGCAAGTGCAGAGGGAAGATGGAGTGAGGATGGAAGGAAGTCGAAAAGTAATGGAAATGGCATCGAAATGCAAATGGAAGTTCAATCGAAAGTAAGCGGAAGATGACGTCGGCCCGCCCCGTCGCAGCCTGAGGCAACACAGAAATATAGATCGAATCAAGAAAACGAAGATCAAGAATGCATAAACTCCGTGCATTTGGTATCTATTTACATCCGTAGCATATGATCAAACTGCTTTCTCATGCCAATTCATCATCATCATCTGCCCCCATGTACCGTCGCTCTGCCAGCTCACGGATCTTGTCCTCCAGCACGCCTCGTCCATAACGCTGCGCAACCTTAACAGCTGCCTCCACCATCTTGCCATTGCGGTCGCGCATCATCTGCACCAGTTCCAGAGCCTTCATGCCTCGCTCTTCACCCTCGCGACATTCCACCGCCAGTAGCTGCAGCAAGAACTTGTCCACCTCCAGCTCCTTCCGCGCCAACTCTGCTCGCTGGCCGGTAGTGGCGTTGGTAGATCCCAAGAGGTCTTCAAACAGCGACAGCATGATGTTGCTGCGAACAAACGCCTCCTCGAGTCGTGGCCCCTCTCCGCGTGTGCTGCCTTCTTCCTCATCTTCATCCGGCCCCTTCCCAGGCGTGTCCGTGATGGGGACGCGGAAGTCGAATTCACTCAGCAAAGGCCTGGGGAAGTACGGGTATTTATCCCCTCCCTTGAGAATGATGCAGTGGAACTTGTCTTGAGCCACGGCAACGGGCCAGTAAGTCTCCTCCTTGCGGCCGCTCGTAAGACGCTCGAGCTGTCTCGTATCCAGCAGCGGTACCCAGCGAGCTTGCCCGTTTGTGCGCCAGTGTTGCAGGATGAGCAGAACGCCTTCAGAGTCGTAGATACATGGGTCCTACAGACAGTCATTAGCACATCGAACCTGGTGAACCTGCTCAGGGTTTACTCACTCCTGCATCAGAAAAGAAGACACTCCGCAGCTCGGCACCCTCAGGGATGGCGACCACATCCTCATTCTGGCACACTTCGTCCCGCTTGACATTCTCCACAGTGTACCGCAGGGTGGCAGTACGACCATCGCTTCCTAGCGGGCCATTGCCCACTGTCATGATATAATCTCTCCAGGCGGCGCAAGTAACCGCCGGGCTCTTTTGTCGGTACACTTTGAACGGTGTGCCGAATAGCGTATATACACGGACATAGTCCTTTGTCGTGACAGCGACAATGTAGGAATCACTGAGCGCCAGCGCTGCCATTTTATCAGCACCCTCAGTCTCCTTGGGTGTTTAGTCGGCTGGTGCTTACCTCGAATGAACTCGCCCTTCGGCAGCTGTGTCCGCCAGTCCGCACGCGTCGTCCACGTCTCATGCGGACGATAGAAGATCGTAGCAGGGCTGCCGTCTGTGGGGTTGTTGGAGAATAGCGTTCCGTGCTCATCTAGATATCGTCAGCCACACCGTTGATCCGATCTAGGAGATCCATTAAACATACTGAGACACGCCCGGTCGTATAGATAGGGATCAGTGAAATGGAAATCGCGATGAAGTTCACGGTCATAAAACTCCACTGTCACTGTGTTGTGGGTTTCTTGATCGACTGTCCAGACACAGCCGGTCAGGTTCAAACCTAGTAGAGTCAGCACACCTGGAACCAGCACCACTTAAGCTGCTTGAGCACACATACACAGATAGCGTCGGTTACCCCTCCAAGGCGTACTTCCCGGCTGAAGAGGGGGATGCACCTTAGGTTTTGCAAACGAGGTCAATAGCCGCTTGTCCGGACGGCCATCTGCATCATCGAGATGAGAGCCCGCACGCTTGCCCCGTGCAAGATCCTCAGCATACCCAGCCCCATCATCGTCCTCCACGAAATCCTCCATGCCGACGTCATAGTCGAGGACATCATCCAGTGAATCGGGTGTGCGCGCCCGCCGTTCAACTGATTGCTTGGGCCGGTTCGCCAGCGGTGGTCTCACGTTGTTCGAGATCTCAGTCAAAGGTCCAGAAAAGATCGGCGCAGCCTGAAGCGGCTTCTGGAGGAGTGGTTGGTGCTCTCTCGGAACAATACCGTCATAGATGAACAACTCTCCGTCGGATGTCGTGAACGACAGCGAATTATTGCTGGGGTGCCAGGCGAGATTGATCACATTCGCAAAATCGTACCGTTCCAGAACTTTTTGAGTCTTCGTCTCCCAGAGCAGAACCTGGCCATCTTTACCGGCAGTCGCCAGTAGTGCCCCATTAGGCGACCAGCTAATCGCCGTGACCTCTCCGTTATGCCCACCAGAGAACACTTTCTCTTTCTTCCACTCGCCCACCGAGAAGATAGCAATATCCCGAGTCGCTTCCGCAGACGCAAAGGCCGTTCCATCCGGATGCCACACAATCCGCGCGGTCGCTTCATCCTCCGGTTCCAGCCTTCGGATCACTCCATCCACCTTACGGACCAGTTCAGGCTCGTCGGAAAGCATCGAATAGATGTAGAGCATCCCGTCCGTACATGACACTGTAACGTACCGCCCGCTGGGGTCGAAGGTGACATGCTTTGTTCCCTTGGCTTGTTCCCGGAGATATTTAACCTTTGTCATGTCCTCGATGTTCACGATCTTGACCGTAAGCTCACTAGCAGTAGCACCCAACTTATTAGCCATTCCCCTGATACCTCAAGTGCTCAATATAGAGGTAGGTTACTAACTCGCTCGCAACAGCCACCCACTCCCCTTCCTTCGAAACGGCAATATCGCGCACCGGTAGCGCGCATCGAACAAGTAGCTTCTCCATCCGGCCAGACTCGATTTCGTATTGCCAGACGGTACCGTCTTCGGCGCCCATAATGAATGATTCATTCTGTCGCGGGATGTATTAGCATATTATCCAAGTGTATTGATCACGCATAGCATGTCAGTAGAGCATACAGTAGCTCCAATTCCAAGATGTCCATCCACACCCTCATCAATTGTCTTCGGCTCTCCATCCTGTCCAACAGTGTAGATCCGAATCGCAGAGTTAGAACCGCCCGTGATAACACGACGTCCATCCGGTGTATATGCTAGTACTGTAGTCCCGGGGGTATCTGGCAGGCAATCACACAATGTGAGTTAGGAAGTCGAGGAAGGTATAGGGCGATTGTATACTCACGGGCTGGTCGGCCCCGGGGACGCATAGCTTCAGTAGCCATGGTGGGGTGACGAGAAATATGATGCCTCTGGTATTATGAGAAAATAAAATAAGTAGTTTCAACGCATCGATCTAGCCCCGATCTGACATTGTATGTGACGCTCGTGGTTGCGATGCGGAGGTGAGACTCTCTCCGGCTCTCCTGCAACGCGCCGCCCGAGTTGGGGAACGCGTTCCGCGCGTTGCATCTACTTTTGCCTATTCCGGCGGGAACAAAGGGCTTAGGGCATTGGGTCAGGGCTGTCGATTATCTACCTATCTCTTCCCTACGACAACTCAATATCAATGGTTCACTTTCCATCATTTAATGATGGCCCACTCGCTGCGAGAAAGTCAAAATCAGCGCCTTCCTGTGCCTGGTTCACCGATCGTTCATACAGTCCCCGATAACCTCTTTTCTGTTTGGCATGCGATTTTTCCGCCCCGCTAGCTTTGAGCGCCTGTTTCCGGGCGTCAATTCGCCGTTTCAGCTCTTCATCTGAAATCTCAAGCTGAAGCTTTCTCGTCGTAATGTCGCAAGTAATTAAATCTCCTGTTTGGACCACTCCGAAGGGCGACTCCCGCAGCGCTGACTCGGGTGATATATGAAGAACAATAGTACCTCCTGCTGTTCCGGACATGCGTCCATCGGACAGCCGCAGCATGTCCTTGACGCCTGCGGAGCCAAGCTTACGAGGGATAGGTATCAGGCCTGCTTCGGGCATTCCAGGGTTGCCTATGGGTCCGATGCCCTTCAGAACCAAGACTGAATCTGGAGTGACCTCGAGGTTGGGATCATCGATGCGCTTAGCAAGATCTACGGAGTTCTCGAAGACAACGGCCAGTCCGGAATGAGAGAGCAAACGTCGATCCTTGGATGCAGATGCTTTCATGACGGCTCCATCGGGCGCAATATTTCCCCGAAGAATGACTAGCGAGGATGAAGGGTGGAGAGGATCAGATAGCGGTCTGATGATCTGCTGCGAAAGGGGAAATGTCCTGAATGGTGAAGAATCCAATACTTCGCCCAACGTTTGACCGCTTATGGTCATGGCTGAGAGATGGAGAAGTGGGCGGAGAGTATGAAGCAACGCCAACATTCCACCTGCATTGTGGAAATCGTTCATGTAGTTGTCACCACTTGGCTTTAGATCAATGAGGAGTGGTGTCCGCTGGCCGACTTCCTCTATAGTCTGCAAAGTGATCACCCCTTGTAACTTCGGATGTCTGTTCACAATAGCCATTAGGTGTACAACGGCATTAGTCGAACCTCCGATAGCTTGTAACACCGTGATAGCGTTCAAAAAGGACTCCTTCGAGAGTATATCTTGAGGTTGTCTTCCAGCGCGTGCCACCACCACTGCATTTGCCCCTGTTTCCTCGGCCACTCGGATTCTGGCTGAGGAGACTGCTGGCGCGGACGCACCACGGAGCGGCATCATACCCAGAGCTGCTGTGATGCATGCCATGGTACTGGCAGTTCCCATAACCCCACACGTTCCGACCTGTAGCAATTATAATCAGCAAATATTAAGGTCTTCTAGAGGATCATATACTATAATACGAACCGTCGGGGCCAGCTCCTCATTAATAGCCGATATTTCTTCAATATCAATTTCCTTCGCTCGAAACGCTGCCCAGTTATTCCGGCAATCCGTACAAGCCCCAATGCGTTGCCCGCGATGACTCCCCGGCAACATCGGACCCGTGATAAGCGGAAGGATGGGTTTATTGGCAGAGATGCCGCCCATCAACTGAGCAGGAACAGTTTTATCACAGCCTATGATATGTTAGCTGAACAGAATTTTCTGAATTTATTTTCTGTGTGTCTAGAGATAGGAAGGGGAAAGGTGGCATGTCCATACCTCCAATCATAACGCACGCATCCAACGGCTGAGCACGAATCATCTCCTCGGTATCCATACTCATCAAGTTCCTCAGAAACATGCTTGTTGGATGAGCAAAGCTCTCCTGGATACTAATCGTCGGAAACTCGATAGCAAGCCCTCCCTGGAGATGAACTCCCCGTTTCACGGCTTCGATCAGCTGAGGGGCATTGGCGTGGCATGGATTGAACCCGGAATAGGTATTGATAATGCCAACTATGGGGCGAGAGAGCGCCTCATCGGAGTATCCCAGGGCCTTGATGAAGACCTTTCGCAGGAATAGAGAGAAATGCGCATCACCATAGGATGATAGACCTTGACGGAGTCCAGAGGTGGAGGTTATGGGGGTCGATAGGTCATAGTCACTTTGAGGCAGGGTGTGCGATTCATTCTCCATGGTTGACATTTTATGAGGGCAAAGCAAAACGATATTTTCCTGAAAATCGAATGTTATCTGCAATTGAGATGGGGCGTAATGATGTTATAAGAGCGATTGTGGGTAGGTTGCCCGGATTCTTTTCCGCAGCATAAGCTCGTCATACCCCCAAGTTCTCTCTCCCCATTGGCTTCGTATGACTAGTTGCTAGCTTCAAACCGAAAAAGCACTAGGTTCGGTACCTGGGTAGTCTACCTAACCTTCGGGCTAAGTCGCCAGAGCCTTCTCAATCGACGTGCTAGCGAACAGTTACAGTTGCTGTTAAGAGGAACGGAAGAGAACGATGCAACTTTTCGGCCCGAGCATTGATAACCAACCGATCAGCCTCAATTAGCTTAGAGGATCTATGAGCGAGAACATAATGGAACTGAACTCCGTGTCAATAATCTAGTCCTTCTCTGGTACAATGCCAAGGCACAGGCACTCCTCCACTAGCAAACTGGCTGTGTAGTCTCGGCTCCATCTCCGCATTACAAAAATACAATCCAAACGAAGTCTTTCAAGCGTGATTGGTAAGCTATATAGTAAGAGTCGGACACAGTTCCCAAGTAATTTCAATTCTTCAGCGATCGGACAGCGTCATAAGAGGTACCTGGGACACTTTGAGGCAGACCATCGGCCCCTGAAGGTGGAGGGAAGGGGGGTTTGGAAGTGCAAGATAACTTTGGCAGTGACACGGGCTTATTTTGGAACTCCTGTAAGATGTTTTCCATCACTCCCTCCATATCACAAAGATCCGTGTGCTGTGGAAATCGTTCGGCAGGGGAGATATCCATTATGAATAGAAGAGACCTAGATCAATGCAAGGCCAATGAACGTATAGAGAAGTGCATCACAAGGGTTGAAATGCATATATACTGATCATTAAATGGCCCGAGGAGACGAGAAATGGTAGTGCCGCTTATAATGCATGTATAGCGGCAACCCACTGGCGTCTCTATGAAGTGAGGCATTAGGGCTAATAACATATCCGTCACTGGCCGACAAAGTCCAAACAAAACGACGAAAAGACGAGAAATCCAGGTGACTCCGAGTCCATCTCCGCTGACACAGCAGGTTAGGTGGGATATAGTCTTCCGATTGGAGCACCAAGCCTTCTCGAAGGATGCTCAGGGCATGAACTGATCAGCGCACTAAACCAAAGATCCTACTTACTTTTCCCCTCAGTTGTCCTATCGGAGCGCTAGAACGGCACTCCGGATGCAGGGGCCAGAACACGTATGTTGATCCGTTTGCTCAGATTCGCTCGAAAGACCGAAGCATGTAAAGGACTTGATAGAGATTAGACATGTAACCTCAGAGCCATCTTTAACTATCTTATTTGCGTGTATCAACGCTGGTAACATGGACGTGGTCTTACAATCTAGGTCATGCCACGGATGGCAGTCTTTCCTGACAGCAGATTATTTTGGCCTACCGTCACAAGTAGCCGGCCTCCATAATTACTTTTCTTTGAGATACTCCAAAGCCGACATCTGGGAAATGTTCCCAGCGCCGTGATTCTCCGTCATCTAGGAAGAATCTTCAAAGACTCTTGAACGATAAAGGAAGGACCAGTGGTTGCAAATGATCTGTGGAGATGAATATGGCAGGTATGCACATCCAAAGGTCGAAGAAGGTGATGATATTGTGGAGGCACAACTGCTAAGGAATATGTGTGCAGCGTCATAACGCCGCATGAGGACTCGGCTGTTCCTAGTCGGTCTACAAACTTTGTCAGAATCACTGACTCCTTAAATTGATTAGAGGTATTTCAGATTATACTCGTAATTAAATGTACTATAGCCCCCACCGCTCCTTAAGCACGCTGCGTGATCCGCACCCGGACATCCTTCCGAGGCAGATATGCCGCGCCAGACGGCCGATGTTCAGGAATGGTGAAGCCTCCCTCTTGGGCTGGCTTGACATCCCACATGGTGATGATTGCCGCGGCGAACGCAAGGAGCTTCCTCTCTGCAAAGGCACGGCCCTTGCATCCAGATACTCCGCCACCAAATGGCTTGATGGTGTGCACGTTCGCTTTCCTCTGCCCAGTTTCGGAGTCGGTCGAGATGAACCTCATCGGGTCATAGTCACGAGGATTCGCGAAGTATTTGGGGTCTGTATGGAGAACAGCGTGCGGAATAGCCACCGTATCGCCCTTCTTGAGTTCATAGGACCGAGGCTGCGCTACGCCAGCGATGGCGGCATCTTCAGCGGATTCCGTGATGGTTAGGTCAGCGGTAACTCCCCGAAACGACAGAGGCGCTGAATCCAAGCGCAATGTCTCATAGAAGCTTGCCTTCAACAGCGGGCACGACTTGACTAGTGCTTCTGTATCGATTGACAGCTTGGGGGCTTCTTGGAAAGCGAAGCCGCTTTCCTGCCGGACAATCTTCACATAAGGAGCGACCTCCTTGCGAATTTCTTCCAGGAGCGTAGGGCTGGCATACATCCGAAGGAGGTGCCAAAAGACAACATTCGGGGAGTTTCCATTCATCGCCCAAAGCAAGGATAGATGTGTAGGTGCGCTAGACCTTGCAGAAAGTCCTAGCTCTTTGCATTTGCGGATCCGCTCCTTGATAGGTTCTGAGATGTCGTCAAGATCTCGAAACGTGAGTCCAGGATCAATCCCATCATCCCAAGCAACAAAGGCCTGATGGTACTCTGTAAGAGAATCGAGGAGCCGTCTACGGGCAACATGCGCTGCAGAAACCCCAGGGTGGGCCAACCGAGGGATGCCCATGGACAGAGGCACAAACTGGTTGTCCAGCGTGAACACATCTTCCAGCAGGGCAGGGAAAGCCTCAAGAATGGCCTCACCCATGAAGATTGCCGTAGTGACGTGTCCAACGAACCTTCTGATGAGGGCGAAAAAGTTCACCTCGCAGGCAAGTGGGTCTTCCCCGTCAATGACAATAGCCTGGCTTCCGCGCTCCCACAGCATCTGGTCCACGATGCTTCGGCAGTTGGTCACCAGATTAGGGATCTCCCGTTCAATCAGGCGGGTAGCGGTTCTTGTGCCTTCGGTCAAAAAAGGCTCCCGCATAAGAAGGTTGGGAATATTGTGGTTGAGCGTATGATGGTCTACAGGATTCAATTTACGAATCACGCCTCGGTCGCCAAAGATTTTCTCAAGGGCATAGTTGATCAAGTCCGTCGAGGAGGTACCCCGAGCAGCCAGTACCGAGTTAACCATGGATGGGGACACGACAACATCGTGTTTGGTGCCACCCATATAGATTCCAAACACGGCCTCCTTCATCGACTTTCTGTAAAATTGGTGAGAAGTTTGCAGCAGCTAATTGGCTGTTTTAGAGACAAACCTGGACTTTTGAATGAGATCGACATGGTCCCAGGCAAAGGCCGGGCCATGGCCTAGCCAGGGTAGCCAATATGGCACCGTCCTTACGGGACGCGGACGTCCCTCGGAGATCCCACGGGAACGACTCTGATACTCGGTGATGAGACGAGTCACCACGCAGATGGAGACCAGAATAGCCACTATGGCTGGCCATCCGATAGACTTGAGAACCTCGCCGACGAATCGTACAAGATTCCCTGGCGCTAATAAGTCATACTGTTCCATCGTAATGAACGAGGAAGAACCGGCCCGAAAACGGGGGCAGAATTAGGGAAAAGAAGGACGGGGATTGCGATCACAGATGAGATGACATGAATATCCAGAAAAAGGGATCGCAATTTATACCAAGTATAAATGAACAATTTCCATTCAGAAGGGGAAGATTAAAGAAATAGAAACGTAAAAGTAAAGAAAGATTTGTGCAACGCCTGAAGCAAAAAATAGAAACGAGAGTTTGATGCTGCTTTGAAATGATGGCCAAACTGGATTATCAGTAAATTACCGTACGGGCTGTGACGCTTAGCTCAGCCACACCTGATTTGGCCTGCGGCTAAAGTCGTTCCCGGTTAGTTTCATCTTCAACTTGTTTACTACTTAGTACTTACTCTCTGTACTATTTATGGCTCATCATTCATTCAGTGCAACTAACTATTTATTACTATCAATGATACAGGAATATACACATTTTCCTCGTGGTCAATGCTCTCGACGCAACACCTTCTGTAAGATGGCACTCTCGTGCTCGTACTGGCTGATCTTGTTCTGCGAACTTGCCACCTTCTGCAGGAGCCATTGAATCCGTGCGCTGAGCTCCCGGGGCTGCTTGGGGAGAGATCCCAATACCTGCAGCTCCTGCTCATATTTCCCAATGCTCTTGTTTTCACTACTCAGCAGCTGCTTGACGATGTCCAGGTCCAGCCGGCTACTCAGCGTCTTGTTCTCCGTTAACCGCTTAAATACCGCCCGATAGACAGGCTTGCCCGGCTTCACTGCGTCAGGACATCCGTTGACGGAACTGATTGCGATAAGCTCGGCTTGTTCAAGGGCTCGGAGGGTGGCCTCGCCGTTCTCCTTGAACAAATCGGAGAGGAGAACTTGATTGTACGGCAAAGTGCCATCCTGGGAGTGGGCTAGCGTCTTAATTAAATGCCAGGCCTGTTCGTGGCTCCACTGTTTGGATTCAATGTCAGGGTCAAAGACGAACATCTTCAAAATCTCGGATGCCGATTGTTCGATGATGCGATTAACTGCCGCTGTTTTATTTTTAGCCATACGCGCCATTGATCAGCCAAAGTGGATCCAACCTACCTCTGGGCGTTTCTCCAGTCTCGATGCGCCGTGCCATGAATTCAAGGTCGGTCACTCGGCCTCCCAGCACCTCTATGCAGCTATCCAGGGTACCCAAGTCTCCTACTTCTTCCATGTTCTGGCCTGAATTGGCTCCATCCTTTGCCCCATGCTCAAGATGGCTGAGGACAAATTTCCTGCCCACGTCGAGCGAGCAATCGCCTAGGGAAATGGTCCGGAACACTGAGTTTGGCAATGCCTTGCTCAGAGGTTTGGAGAAGGAAACGTCAGTAGTCAAGAATACTACATGAGCGATGTTTCCAGTCGTGAGGCCTGCAGCCCACTCGGTGATCTTGTCGTACACCACACTGCTCTCAGAGGCATTATGCAGAAAGTTGTCGATGACTACGACGGGACGCTTCTCAGGGTGAGCTTCTAGGTACTCCTCGTCTGAGAGGTGTGCCTCCTTGTCGTCACTTTTCCTGTTGGACAGGGCAACCTTCTTTAGAGCAGTGGCAGTATTCTGCCAGATCTTGCTGAGCTGCGCATCCAATGTCTCGGAGAAGCCAGCCTTGGTGCCGATCATGCCCTGCGCAGCTAGGTCGATAAAGCTGCTCATGCTGTTCATCCATGAGAACACAGGCCGGTAACCGACCTGGCTAGCAGCACGGGCTATCTTTGCAGTATCGCCTTTGGCGTCTTGGATCTGTTTACAATCGATGACGACCTTATACTTGTAGTTCTCAAGGGCTCGGTCCAACACAAGCTCTCGCTTTCCCGTGCCTCGAGGGCCGTGGATGACGATGAACGTCTCGGCATTTTCCATCAGCCAGGACTGCAACTGCTTAATGTCTCCCTGGCGATCCTCCCAGATCGCAGTGAGACGACGAGGATCTGTCCTCTGGCGCCCGAAGTAGATGATGTTGGCCTTGTTGACCTGATTCCGGATCCATTGAAGGACACTGTTCTCCTCAGTTTGCAGAGTGGCTTTGATCTTCATTTCGATAAAGAAGGTGCGAATAGGGTCGAAGATGGTCACGGTGATGGCCGCAATGAGTGCGGCAATGGCAGGGATCACGATCCTCGGATGGTTCAAGATCCAGTCCTTGATGACGGATAGCTTGATCTTCCGCTCGTACTTGATCTTGATCCTCGTTCCGGACTTGCCGCCGCCTTCTTGCTCCGGGATGGTGAATCCGTGCATGCAGTTCTTGGCCATGACTGCGTACTTTTGCCGCGTGAATGACACAAAGGCATATCTCGGGGCGATCTTCGAATCTGTCGGCTGTCTCTCAATGTCCCGTAATTTTCCATATCTCCTGAAGAAAGAATACAACGTTTCCGTGGTCAGTTCCGTTGCGGCTCCATCAACGGAGCCTGGCAGGAATTCCACGCGCAGCCGCTGGCTTGGGATGCGATATAGATCCTCGATCCACGGTCTTCCATGCACGTGGGCAACCTTGACCTGCTGAAACGGGTTGAACCAGGGCCGGATAGGATTGTGCTCCAGATGGTCCTGCACAGCGGTTACAATGTCAGTGTCTCGGACACCATCCTTGCGAACATATTTCACAAAAGCACCGCCTTCTCTGAAGCGCGGAATGACTTCCCGGATGTCGACGTTCAGGCTCTGGGGGAAGACACGGCGGATTATATGCAATGGATCCGACGCCGCCAGATGGGGTCTGTTGATTCTTTTCAACGCCTCTTCGTAGGTTTTAGTCCCGCTCAGCGGGCCTTGTAGCAACCATTGTAGCTTCGACGGAAAGATATCTACTCCCAGCATGGATTGTTAGCAATGCATACAATGCAGTATCTGAGACGCGAAACCCATACTATTCACAAATACAAGACCCTCGTCGTCTTTCACGTCAATGTGCCCAGTCTCGATGAAAGAGGCATGTGACGAAGTACGCCGACTAACGATGAACGCCTTTGTCAAGGAAGGAATCGCAGAAGGTCTACTGAAGCGTGCATGGGGTAGAGTTGCGCGCGGCACCACCGCTCGATAGGGGAGTCGCATCATCTCTGCAGACCTCACAGCATTGTGCAGGAAGCTAGAGGGGTTCCTGAAGAACAAGAGACGCTGTTCCTGGAGTCTCGAACTATGACGTCGACTGGATGATCTGGACCAATACATGATGTGACGGGTATTATATCTTTGCTGGTGCGGGGCAGCTCCGCATTACCGTCACGGCGCGTTCGGGTGAAATTTAGGATTCGATCCGCTTTGAATCCATTCAACTTAATTCCGCCGCCTCTTCTTGTCCCCCATCCAAACATCCCCCGGAGACTCCCATTCTATCCTCCATTGAAACCAGTCACTGCCATGGGTTGGTGGTGGAGCTCCGCCCCTGAAGAGGGCCAGTCTTCCACGCCTGCTGCCTCCAGTTCTCCTGCCTCACAACACCCTCTAGAGACCACCTCCGCACCTTCACAACCACCGCAACCCCGGACTCTCACCCGCGAGGAGCAGGCCGACGCAGAATGGAAGACGCTGATCGCCAGCCTGGAGAGCGATATCAGTGGTCAAAAGCAGCAGCAGCAGACACCATCCGCTGGTAATTCCACATCATCCGATTCCGCATCATCCCCATCCAACTCCGCCGATCCTCAAGCACCTCCCTCGTCCATTGCCCCCGAATCCCTATACGATGATACCATGTCCTGTCGCTCCGCATTCGACTATGCCTTTTTCTGCCAGTCCTTCGGAGGCCAGTTTGTCAACGTCTACCGCTATGGTGAGCTGCGGTCCTGCAGCGAACACTGGGACAACTTCTGGATGTGCATGAAGACCCGCACGTTACCGGATCAGCAGCGCCGGAAGGCAATTCGCGATCACAACCGGAAGAAAGCCATCAAGTACAAGACAGGTCCCAGCAGCGAAGACGTGTGGGACGTGCGGACAGAGCCGGTGCAGAATGCGTTCTCTGGGGATTTCGCGGCCCTGGAACGGGAAATGCAGGCAGAGGAAGAAGAAGCAGCGCGGCAGAAAGCTGCTACGGCCTAAAAAAGAAGCCAACCAATCATGACCCCATCCATTTTTTTCGTCTTTGTGTCAGATCTCTTCACACATACCTAGGGATCTCCCATTTTTTCACATTTGATACCATGTAGATGGATACCTATCTCCCGAACTCCTGGGGCACGTTGTACAATAGCATTAGCAGAAATCAATCACCCATCATCATCTGAGCATCCCAATTGTCTCAGCCACCATCCTCAGGACAAAGGAAATATCCGTCTCTAACGCACACAATAAAGCGACTTGCTTCCGACGGACAATCCCGATGTGTCTTTATTCCTCTTGACCTATCCTCCTCTGTGCAGCTCCTATATATAGACCTCACATAACAACAGCACCCTTGTCATCACCAGCAACCACCAACAGCCAACCACTGGGCCATTCAAGCACCATGGCTACGATATGAACTTCTTCAGGAACAATAAACATCTGATATGATGCGTCCTTTTGGGTCTTTCAAGAAACCTCTTCGCATCAAGCAGAGACTGAAATTACCATTAACCGCCACATATCGCATGCGCACGCTCTTCCATCGCATTTCTGCCATGCTGACTACCACCAATAATTATACGGAAGACTCAAGTTCTGAATCTACTACTACTATCAAGGCTAGCAGCCTCACCAGGAACTACCCTAACATGGACGTGAATATGACCACAAATATGGAGAAGACGCTGGATAATATCGAAGGACCTGCCTTCCCAGCTCAACGTCGTCAACTTCCTCACAGACCACCAACACCAACACCACCACCAGCATCAATATCAACATCAACATCAATCCCACCACCAGCCCCAACAACCACCCACCCCCCATTCCCATTCCCATCCTCATCCTCCTTCACCCACCCTCACCCTCATCCTCACTCTCACCACCAACAACAACCACCACCACCCTACCACTTCCACCCCCCCAAATCCGTAACCTGGGGTCCCATCACCGAAATCCCCATCTACTCCCCTTCCCCAACTCCATCACCCCAATCCTCCCCCTCCACCTCCTGGATCGACCTCAGCACCACAACAACACCATCATCAGCAACCTCCTCCACCGCAGCCCTAACCTCCTCGTCCACCTTCTCCCCCACCATCCCCAAACCCAGCCCACCACGAAGCCACCCCATCATCCACCGTCCCCTCAAACCCATCCGCAAACCCCCCACCCAACTCGACAACGAAATGTTCTACCGCAACCTCTACCACATGTCTCAGATCAGCACGCTCCGATTAAACATCGTCTACGACGCGCTGAGTTTCCTGGGCGGGGACTTCCTGGACCAGGTCCTTCTCATGGAGGAGGGGTATTTGATGCAGGTGGCGGTGATGCATGCGAGACAGGCGCAGCAGAGGGATTTTGCAAGGTTTTCTGTTGCTGCTGCTCGTGCTGCTGGTGGTGCTGGTCCTTTCGGTGGTAATGGTGGGTTTGGGGCGGTGATTCCTCGTCGCCCGAGTCCGGTTAAGGGGGGTCGAGTGGAGAAGAGGAAGATGAGGAAGATGATGAGAAAGAGAAAGGCGTCGGATGTTATGGGGGCGGAATTTTGGGAGCAGGTGAATGAGAGGGAGGAGGGGTATGAGATTGATGAGGATGAGGATATGGATACTAGGGATTGGGTGTAGAGCTGCCCGTCCTATTCTATTCTACTATACTTGTCTTAGACTGGCTTGGCTGGGGTTAAGAGGCTGTGTATATACCACGCTACTGGCATGCGTCAAGTATATGGGAGTCCGGTCATATGCACTTACTCTGCGGAGCCATACATACTACTTTGATAGATGGTATTTCGGGATCTCTACTAGTGCGTTCTTATGAATTGGAAAGGGGGGTACTTGGACTGAACCATGGGATTGATATGGTCATGAAGAGAATATGTACATCAAAATGTATTGGACGGAAATCACAAACGCTCCGACACCTAGCACCTCTTTTGAGAAGGAACAGAACGCTGCAAATCATCCTTCGAAATAGCAAAACCAAATAAAATATAATTTCATCGGACTGTATCCCTCCCTAAAACTTCCATGAAGACGGACGCAACGTATCGTAGTAAAGATCAAAGTAATTGCCGTGATAAATATGAGCCACCCAACATGGCCTGGCCGAGTCAAAACACTTTTTCTCTTTTCGACATAGAAAATCGTAGATTCGTTGCTATCATGACTGAGGTTTCATGCAGTCAACGCTAGAACCAGTCTAGCGGGTTTAGCGGCAAGGCGCAACCTCTGATGGACTTAAGCAGATACTGTCTGCTGAGCAGCCTGAGGAACGGCATCGATAGCGGGCCGGCGCACAATACCACCAGTGACAGGGAGTTGGGAGCTGATGCCCATCAAGAAGGTGTCTACTTCACGGGCGCATTGACGACCTTCGTTGATACCCCACACGATGAGAGACTGGCCACGACGGCAGTCACCAGCAGCGTAAACACCCGGAACGCTGGTGGAGTAATGTCCTGGTGGGGTCTTGACGTTCTTGCGGGCATCACGCTCAATTTCCTCGCCCAGGACCCGGTCCTCGGGCCCAAGGAAGCCCATGGAGAGAAGAACAAGGTCCGCGGGGAAGAATTGCTCACTGCCTTCAACGGTCTTCATGTCCCAGCCACCAGAAGCGCTCTTGGTCCACTCAACACGGACCGTGTTGATACCCTTGACACGGCCACTACCGTCGTCAACGAACTCCTTAGACATGACGCAGTATTCACGAGGGTCCTTGCCCATGTGCGTCTTGACCTCGGAGTGACCGTAGTCGACACGGTAGATACGGGGCCACTGAGGCCACGGGTTGTCGCGGGCACGCTCCGGCGGAGGCTGAGGCAGCAACTCGAAGTTGGTGACAGATTTGGCACCGTGACGCACAGATGTACCGATGCAGTCGTTTCCAGTATCACCACCACCAATAACCACGACGTGCTTGTCCTTGGCGGAGATGTACGCCCCGTCGGCAAGGTTGGAGTCCAGCAAAGACTTGGTGTTACGGTGCAGGAATTGCATGGCGAAGTGAACGCCGTCAAGCTCACGTCCAGGGACCTTCAGGTCACGGGCCACCGTGGCACCAGTAGCAATGATAACAGCGTCGTTAGTCTGGCGCAGAGAGTCTAGCGTGATCTCATGCTCTGGGCCGACGGGGGTACCGGCAGCGAACTTGACACCCTCAGCAGCCATCAGGTCAACGCGACGCTGCACGACCTTCTTGTCCAGCTTCATGTTGGGAATTCCATACATCAGAAGACCACCGATACGGTCAGCACGCTCGTAAACAGTGACGGTGTGGCCAGCCCGATTAAGTTGATCGGCAGCAGCGAGACCTGCAGGGCCAGAGCCGATGATCGCAACATTCCTGCCCGTGCGAGTCTTGGGAGGGCGAGGAACCATCCAGCCCATCTCGAAACCACGGTCAATGATGGCACATTCGATAGACTTGATACCCACGGGGTCTTCGTTGATGCCAAGGACACAAGCACCTTCGCAAGGAGCAGGGCAAACGCGACCAGTGAATTCAGGGAAGTTGTTCGTCATGAGTAGCCGGTTGAGAGCATCCTGCCACTGGTTCTGGAACACCAACTCATTCCACTTGGGAATGATGTTGGAGATCGGGCAACCAGTGTCAGATTGGCAGAAAGGCACACCACAGTCCATGCAGCGCGCGGACTGGTACTTGAGTTCATCCTCGCTCAGGCGATTAGAAAGCTCAGCCCAGTCACGCGTACGAGTTGCCGGGTTGCGGTACTTCTCGCTGCGCCGGTTGTATTTCATAAAGCCCCTGGTCTTGTCCAAAATGAGCGCAGACCGCTTTTTCTCAGTCTTAGAGTCGCTGATGCTATCTTCGATATCTAGCATCTCAACCTTCTTGGCATCGTCGGACTGAGCTTTGGGCTTCTCCGCAGGAACTGGAGTGCTAGGAAGCTGAGGCAAAGAGAACTCTGCCTTCTTGGCGGCTTCAGCCTTGGCAGCTTCCTCCTGTAGGATCCGCTTGTAATCCGTAGGCAGCACCTTAACGAAGTGAGGAAGGGCACGAGTAAAGTCCAGCAAGATACGGGCGGCGAGCTCCGATCCGGTGTAGTGATGGTGATCCTCGATCAAGCCACGAACGAAGGCGATCTCGGCGGGGTCTTCCAAGCCGGAAACCTCAACCATCTCCATGTTGACCTTGGAGTGGAAGTCCTGCTTCATATCCAGGATGTAGGCGATACCGCCAGACATACCAGCAGCAAAGTTACGGCCAGTCGAGCCAAGAACAAGGACGCGACCACCAGTCATGTACTCACAACCGTGGTCACCAACGCCCTCAACGACTGCGGTAGCACCGGAGTTACGGACAGCGAAACGCTCAGCAGCCATACCGCGGAAGAAGCAAGTACCGCGAGTGGCACCGTAAAGGCAGGTGTTACCAACAATAACATTTTCTTCAGCCTTGAATGCAGCTCCACGAGGGGGGTAGATGATAAGGCGACCTCCCGACAGACCCTTACCAACGTAGTCATTGGCATCGCCTTCCAGCTCGAGAGTGATACCAGGAGCAAGATAAGCACCGAATGACTGACCAGCGGAGCCCTTGATGTTGGCGTGAATGGTGTCTTGGGGAAGGCCTTCACCACCATAACGGCGACTGACCTGGTAAGACAAGGTAGCACCCAAGCCACGATCAGTGTTGACAATGTCACACTCGATTCTGCAAGGGAGGCCCTTCTCCAAGGCAAGCTCAGACTCGGCGATCAGCTTGTTATCGAGGCGAGTGTGGAGACGGTGGTCCTGCTTGCGGACGTTGTAGGTAGCGACGCCGGGGCGCAGGGAGTGGGCAGGAGTAAGAATGAGCGACAAGTCAATTTTCTCCTGCTTGGCATTCCGGATATCGTCACGGACCCTAAGAAGCTCGGCACGTCCAACCATCTCATTCACAGTGCGAACGCCCAACTTGGCCATGATAGCACGCATCTCGTTGGCAACATAGTAGAAGAAGTTGATCACGTGCTCGGGCGTACCCTGGAACTTGGCCCGAAGTGCCGGGTCCTGAGTTGCGATACCGACAGGGCAGGTGTTGAGATGACACTAAGCATGAGTTAGCACGGTTCCAAGGGGAAATTCCATATTCATCTTACCTTGCGCATCATAATGCAGCCCATGGCGATCAGAGGGGTCGTAGCGAACCCGAACTCTTCGGCTCCGAGCAAGCAAGCGACCGCAAGATCGCGACCAGTACGAAGTTGACCATCAGTTTGCACAACAACACGTCCACGCAGGTCATTGAGAACCAAAGTCTGGTGGGTTTCGGCCAGACCCAACTCCCAAGGAAGACCGGCATACTTGATACCGGTCCAACGAGAGGCACCAGTACCACCATCGTGACCAGAGATCAGGATGTGATCAGCCTTGGCCTTTGCGACACCGGACGCAACGATACCAACACCAACTTCCGACACAAGCTTGACAGAGACACGTGCGCGAGGGTTGGAGCACTTGAGGTCGTAGATGAGTTGCTTCAGATCCTCGATAGAGTAAATATCGTGGTGGGGTGGCGGCGAAATAAGACCGACACCGGGAGTAGAGTAACGGGTGTGTGCAATGGGGCCGACAACCTTGTGACCAGGAAGCTCACCACCTTCTCCAGGCTTAGCACCCTGTGCCATCTTGATCTGCAGTTCATCGGCATCGGCAAGGTAGTGAGATGTTACACCAAATCGACCAGAGGCAATCTGCTTGATGGCGGACCGCATTGTATCGCCATTTTCCAACAGCTTGCTTCGCTCGGGATCTTCACCACCTTCACCAGTGTTCGACTTTCCGCCAAGGCGATTCATTGCAATGGCAAGGGTGGAGTGAGACTCCATGGAGATGGAACCGTACGACATGGCGCCCGTAACGAATCGACGAACAATCTCGGTCCAGGGCTCGACCTGATCGATAGGGATCGGTGTGCGTTGCTCGAAATCAAAATCAAGCATACCACGGAGGGTGCAGTTCTTGATCTGCTCGTGCTCAGCCTTGGCATATGCCTCATAGGACTTGTCGTTCTTCGTGCGCACAGCATCCTGCATGTTTGCGATACTGACAGGGTCGTTGATGTGCTCCTCGCCACCGTCACGCCAGTGGTATTCACCCGACTCTGGGAGACCGGGGATATCGACAATCTCGCGGGAGGGGTATCCACGCTCGTGGAAAGCAAACGCGTCTTGGGCAATCAATTCAAAGGTCAGACCACGGATGCGGCTTGCAGTTCCAGCAAAGCAACGGTCAATAACACTGTCATCGATACCGAGGGCTTCGAAGATCTGAGCACCCTTGTATGACTGCAGGGTAGAGATACCCATCTTGCTCATAACCTTAAGGATACCACCATCACAGGAAGCCTTGTAGTTCTCGATGACCTTCTCATCGGGAAGCTGCTTGCGGATCAGCTTCTCCCGGTTCATCTTCAAGATACATTCCATAGCAAGGTAGGGGTTGATGGCGTCAGCTCCGTAACCGACGAGGACACACATGTGGTGCACTTCACGAGCCTCGGCAGTTTCCACAACGATGGCAGCAAGGGATCTCCACTTGTTGCGGACCAGATGGTGATGAACAAGACCGGTTGCTAGAAGGGCAGACACTGGAACTCTGTCCGCACCAGTGGCACGGTCTGA